GAGAGACATTAAGACTAACCACATTCAAACGTGTTTTCATTGTGTGAGCACAAAGGTCACTGTCGGCAACACAAATGTGATGCAATGTGAAACTAAAAGATGTGGGCCTATTAATGTCTTGAGTCGTGATTATTGGGTTAAGAGTGTGTGTTATTTTTTTTCTCGTTGCAATGCACGGGCTTTTTTTTTTGAGCGAGTGTGTGAGCATAGAGGAAATACAAATGTGATGCCATGTGAAACTAAAAGACGCGGGCCTATTAAGGTCTTGAGTCATGGTTATTGGGTTAAGAATGTGTGTTATTTTCTTTTCCGTTGCAACGCACGGTTTTTTTTGCTAGTATCAGTGAAAAATAATACTCCCTCTGTCCCACAATATAGATTGTTTTTCAAGCTAGTACCTGACCTAATTATGTTTTACAGCATCGTATGTGGTACAGTAGTAATTTCTCAAAAAACAAAAACAGTAGTAACAATATTATTGTTATTCGGAAATTAATAATCTTCCCCGCAATTTTTTTATTATTGTTATTATAAAAGCTGAGCATGTACATGAGCCTTAAGAAAATGGCTGTCCCCGCGCTCCTCAACTACGCCTACCTCACCGGCCTCCTCTCCCGCTGCGGCCGCGCCGCCGACCACCGCCTGGGCGCCGCCCTCCACGCCACCGTCGTCAAGAATCCCGCCCACTTCCTCCTATGCCCACTGCACCCCTCCCTCCGCCACGTCCTCGTCGCCTGGAACGCGCTCGTCTCCATGTACGCCAGGTGCGGCCGCCACGACGACGCCACCAAGGTGTTCGACGAAATGCGCGTCCGGGACTCCGTCTCCTGGAACTCGCTCATCGCCTCCGCCGCCGCCTCCTCCTCCGGCGCCGACGACGTGCTCGCGCAGTTCAGACGGATGCTGCGCTCGGGCCTCTCGTGCGACCACGCCACCTTCACCACAGTCCTGTCTGTGTGCGCGCGTGCAGTGTCCCTCCCCGCGTCTGCCATGGTGCACGGGCTGGTCGTCTCGCGTGGGTTTGAGGGCGAGGTGTCTGTCGGGAACGCACTGGTGACCGCCTACTTCGAGTGCGGGTCTCCGGGCTCGGCCAAGAGGGCGTTCCAGGGAATGGCAGAGAGGAACGTCATTACATGGACGGCGATGATCTCCGGGATGGCTCGAGCAGAGCTCTACGAGGACAGCATCGTGTTGTTTCGACAGATGAGGCGCACGGTGGACGCCAACAATGCGACATACTCGAGCTCCCTGTTAGCCTGCGCTGGATCTCTGGCAGCCAAGGAAGGCAAGCAGATTCATGGCCTTATTGTGAAGGCTGGACTCGCGACCGACCTCCATGTAGAGAGTGGGCTCATGGATGTTTACTCTAAATGCGGATTAATGGAGGATGCTCTGAGTGTGTTCCGCGCATGTCGGCAGCCTGACGAAGTTTTCTTGACAGTCATTCTGGTCGGATTTGCTCAAAATGGGCTGGAAGAGAAGGCGTTCGAATTGTTCACTGAGATGGCGGGTGAAGGAATTTGCATTGATACAAACATGGTTTCTGCAGTTCTGGGGGCATTTGGTGCCTCCGCGCCAATTGCTCTTGGGAAGCAAATCCATGCACTGGTCATCAAGAAGTGCTTCGGAAGGAACATATATGTCTGCAATGGTCTGATCAATATGTATTCAAAGTGCGGTGAGCTGCAAGAGTCTGTCCAGGTCTTTGATGAGACGCCCAGTAAAAACTCGATCTCATGGAACTCCATCATCGCAGCCTTCGCGCGACATGGTCAAGGTTCTGAAGTCTTTCAACTGTTTGAATCCATGAAAGCCAGCGGTGCCAATCCCACAGATGTCACCTTCTTATCACTACTACATGGCTGTAGCCATGTTGGATCAGCAAAGAAGGGGCTGGAGATCTTGAATTCCATGTCATCGCAGTACGGAGTGCTCCCAAGGGTAGAACATTATGCATGTGTGGTCGACATGCTTGGCCGAGCTGGTCAGTTAGACGATGCAAAGTCATTCATCGAGGACGGACCTTTCAAGGACAGTGCTATCCTTTGGCAGGCCTTAATGGGAGCTTGTAGCTTCCATCGGAACTTGGAGATCGGGAAATACGCGGCTGAGAAGTTGCTCCTTGTGGACCCCGAGTCCCCTGCTTCTTACGTCTTGCTATCAAACATCTACTCAGCGGAAGGCCGATGGGATGATCGAGCCAAGGTTATGAAGAAGATGAGGGAGATGGGTCTGAGGAAGGATACCGGCAAGAGCTGGATCGAGCTCGAGAAGGAGGTCCATTCTTTCGTCGTCGGGTCACTCACGTCTCGTCCTGACCCTGCTCCTGTTGATGATGTGGTGCTGCAGCTGTCTGCAGTTGCTGGTGATCATCAGGATGATGTGATGGAAGACAATGCTCTGTGAATGGGACGTCGGTGCGTGCATGCTTGATTCTGATGCACATAATATAGTGAAGGCTATTTCATGACCATGGCCTTCATGGTGAGCAGAACCCCAGCAAGACCATGGCTGGTCTTCAATCACGCTGTTATGATGACATGGGCATGGACCTGTATGCTTCATGGCGAGTGGCGCCCAAGTGTGGATCAAGGGGAAGGCCATGTCCCAGATGAGCTGCCGGTGGCTCCTGGAGATCACGACAGATGCTGGTGGATTGGTAGCGCCTCGAGGAGGAGGAAGCAGAGGTTTGAGCAGCGGCACTCGGCTTTGACAGCGCCATCAAAGAAGATCAATAGCTATGTGCTCAATTCATACTTTCTCTGTAACTTAATGTAAGACGTTTTTTTACACTGACTCTAAAAACGTCTTGTAAAAGATTACAGAGGTGTACACAAGGGGTCTATTTTGGATCACATGATACGAAAACACTGAAACGGAAAAAACATGTAGTGCTAATTTTGAAGATGGAAGACAAATCGGTCTGTAATGCTGAATTTGGTTCAAAGTGATGATTCTAAAATTTAAACGCGTGGGATGACACGTTGGTGAAAGGAAAATTGATCCGCCTTGCAGTTTTTGGTTTTCTATTCTAGCCCGTGCCCCGTGGGTATCATTTTCTATGTACACCCAGCTTGAGTTTGAAAACACATTGATCATCATGCTAGCAATTTGCCCCATGTTAAAGACGCCATGCTTAGAGCAATTCTAGCGGACCCCGCAAAACACGCAGACCCGCAAAATTCCGGTGAGTATGCGGGCTCTGCCCAATTTTCCGGTCAGAACAGAGCCCACATACTCGCCTGGCCCGCAAATTTTTTTGTCGCGGTCCGCAAACCGCACGCCCCGACCGCTATATCTGCGGTTCTGCGACTCGTTTGCAGGTCCAAACCCTATCCCCCGCCGCCGCCGAGCCACGCGATTCCCCTTTCCCATCTTCACATTTTTCGTCGCCGGCGACCACCCGCCCCGCCTCCAGCCGCCATGTGGGGCCGAATGTGGAGCTCCGGACGCGGCTCCGACAGCAGATCCAGCGGCAGAAGGGACCCGGAGCGCGAGCGGCGCGTCTGGTCGGACGGCGCGACGAAGCGCGGGGCCCGGAAGTGGACCAACCGCGGCCTGTCGCCGCCGGCGAGCTTCCAGCGGAGCGAGATGGAGGAGTACGACTGCCGGCGCGCGTCCTTCTCCTTCGCGAGGTCATCATACGTCGGGAGCTCCTCCCCCTCCGGCGCGGGCCTTCTCCCCGTGAAGAGGGAGTGGTCGGAGGACGAGGAGTCGGACGAGTTCGCCTTCGTCCCCGTGAAGGAGGACCCCGCTCCGCTCGGCCGCCGCGGAGTCGTCGGGCCGGAAGACTACGTTGCCGACGTCGATGCCGTTGCGGCCGCCATCGCCGAGCGGAGCGTGCGTGAGGAGGCGGAGCGTCGGCGCCATGGCGAGGAGCTCGAAGACCTCCAGTGGCGGCAGACGGTCGCCGCCAACCTCGCCGTCAAGGAGAAGGCCGAGGAGTGGTGCCGCATCCGCAAGGAGCAGGCGGCGAAGTATGTCGACCTGTGCAGCTCCGGCGAGGAGGATTGACCGTCCTTCTCCTCCACGGCGCCGTCCATTTGCCGCGACCTCGCTGCCGTCAGATCCGACCCCCTCTAGTACTAGTTAACATAGTATTTAGTATGAACTATGCTTGTAGTTTGTTGATCATGTAAAATCTATGTAGTATGTGATGAACTATGTTTGTGCAATTTCTTCCGCGGAAGTGTTTTTTTTTTAAATTATGCAGGTTTAGATACGGTTTCTGTTCGGCCGCGTTAGTTTTTGACCCGCAAACGCGATCTTTCTGAAACCGCAAACGCGATTTGCGGGTCAAGTTTTTGCGGAGTCTGCTAGAGTTGCGCTTGGTAACCATCCTAGTCAAATTTGAACAAAGGTTGGTTTCTCCTATGAGATGCTGCTTCAGTGTTGACCATCAGCGAGGTATGATTACAAAGGGCCCTATCTAGGTTTTAGGGGTCTTTGTTCTCAATCTTTGCTCATGAGCACCCTGTCAAGCGTCTCAGTATTGTCTTAAATCCAAGCTACCAACGACAGCATTAAATCTGTTTCACCACCCGCACAAAACTGGGTTTGCTCTGCACCATAGAAAACCACCAAGATCCATATGAAAACCTTGTCTATATTGCAAGTGAAATTTTACAGAACCAAAGCTAATCTTAGAAGATAGCCAAAATGGAGAGGCTGCTAAATTAACTATTGATACATGTATTTGTATGAGCCAAATATCGCAGCTAATAATGCCACTGACATTTTCTCCAGCAGAAATACCATAATCTCACTTCACAGCAAAACTGATACTGAAGATAACCTTGGAGGCACATAAGACTTTTCATCATAACCATGAAACATAAGCACCAGGTACATCAAGCTCATCTCTAGGAGATACTCCCTCCGTCCCATAATATAAGAGCATTTTCAACACTAGTGTAGTGTCAGAAACGCTCTTATATTATGGGATGGACGGGATAGTAAAGTAACACTAGTACAAACTGGTTCAGCAACTGCTTCAAGGCTCATCTTGGCTCAAGCTTTGTGATGGTCATTCCATTCGAAGACTCCGATTCTGAATTATCACTGCATCCACTCAATCTGTCACAGAAGGCTGGCATGGAAACAGAAGGGAGACGGACACTCTGGCTGGTAAGCATGGAATTTACCGACGACATTGCCGGCCTATCTTCAGGTCTGTTCTGCACACACAGCAGCCCGGTTCGGATGCATTTCAGCACCTGGTCAACGTGAGAAGGATGGCCGCTAAGGGATGGATCGATCAACTCGACGACATTTCCCCTGGTCCAGTGTTCCCATACCTGCACCAGATTGGTAAATTGTTCAGTTATTATGATAGGGATTCAGCCGCGCACAGGGTTAACTAGCTTTGGTTCAAGTACTTACAAGATTTACGAGATAAACATATTGCTCGGAGTTGCAGGAGCCGTTGTTTCTTCTTCCCGTGACGATCTCCAAAACCAAAACGCCGAAGCTGAACGCATCCGATTTTGCTGAGTATTGACCATGCATGGCATATTCAGGCGACATGTATCCACTGCAAGAAGAACAGAAGTGTTACTATAGGTTCTACTTTGATGCCTAGCTATCAAATGCTGACTGTGCTTACTATGTCCCGGCAATACGTCTAGTGACATCTTCTGATTGATCCCCTCCAAATATCTTTGCCAAGCCAAAATCAGAAATCTTAGGGTTGTAATCAAAGTCCAACAGAATGTTGCTTGCTTTCAGGTCCCGGTGAACTATCTTCAATTGAGAATCTTCGTGGAGATATTGTAATCCCCTAGCAACTCCACTGATAATCTTGAACCTCCTTCCCCAATCTAGGTCTTTGCGTTTCTCAACATCTGCATTTAAAAAAGAAATATCAGCATTGCAATGAAAGTTTGGTGGCACTTGCACTATTCCTATTGAAGCTCGGCCATAGTGGAAAAAAAATCCTTGAGAAACTAATAGTGAAAAGGTTGTACCAAAAAGAATGGTATCAAGGCTTCTGTTGGGCATAAATTCATACACAAGTATTTTCTCTTGTTCTTCCAAACAAACGCCAATTAGGCTCACAAGATTCCTGTGGCGAAGCTTAGCAACAAGGACTAGTTCACTTTTCAGTTCACCTATTCCTTGTCTGGAACTGTGAGATAGCCTTTTTACTGCTATTTGTTTACCGTCAGGTAGGACTCCCTGTGAAAGAAAAATAAATACACGCTCATTGGTAAATATATAAAGTTGATAAATTCTAGATACAGCATGGTTTGTACCTTATGAACCATTCCAAAACCTCCTTTACCAAGCATAGTTCCTTCGCCAAAGTCATTTGTAGCCACTCTTAGAGTTAACAGATCGAGAAGAAGTGAATCAATGCTTTGAATATCATCCAGCAGATCACTGTATCTGAAGTCAGTCAGTGCGGCCCCAGCAGTCTTGGATATCCAAAAAGTCCTGTCTCGGCGGCACGTCCGAGATAGAAAGAACAACACAATTGCAAGGATTATAAAAAATGCAGCAACTCCACCAATAACTGAGCCAATGATCGTTGTTTTCTTCCTTTGCTGATCTGGTAGCTCGGATGCTGCAAGCCTGAGGAAGAATGTGCCATCTCCAAAAAATTTGCTGTATCCTTCTCCGAGGTTAACCTGCAGGTCCCCATGCCAAACAAAGCACCCAGTGTAATTGTAAGTGTAAGCAGAGCAGGAGCAATTTTTCAGACAAGCCACCTGACATTCCTGAGAGCTTGTTGCCACTGCACCCCGAGCATTAGCAGGTACCCTCACATCTTCCATGGCATAGAACTTATCAGACCGAGAATGTGCAGAAGTCGAGTGGGTCTGGCACTGCAATGGTGTGTTCCTCTTGCACCCACCACTGTAATCGTCAAGGTCCCAGTCATTCTGACTGAACCCCTTGACACAGTTGCAGAACGGCAGGGCATTGAGGTTGCAGCTGCCGTATGCCCCACAGCGCGCATACACCTCACACTCCGTCTGTGGCTGGGTCCAGATCAATATCCACTGCTGTGAGGAATCCAGCCATGTCAACAACCTGAGCTGCCCGCTAATGTCGATGATGATGTGTGTGATGACCGAGTCGTCTTTCGTCGAGTACAAGAGGTAACTTTCTGTGGAGCTGTTGACGAATCGCAAGGCCACCATCCCCGGGAGATCGAAGTCCCAAGGGGTACTAGCCCAGTAGCTTATGGAATCATTCCACTGCGCGAAATAAAGTGGTGTGCCGTTTGGGTCATGCTCCAGCGAGAACAACCCAGGAGATGGATCTGCCTCACTCTTCCAAGCAACAAGCCTCTGGCTAACACCAGTGATTTTGTTCAGCCCGAGCTTTACCCCTGGAAGCAAGGTGTTTGTTGGATGGTCTATGCTTTGCCAGTAAACTATCGATGAATTGGAGGCATCAATGAGCTCGAGGCTACCACTGTCCCTGATGGTGGCCACGGTGGAGTTGGATGCTATACTTACATTGGTCGACCATAGCAGTCGGTTCTTGGCTTGATCAAGGAGGACAAGGTTGCCGTCGCTGGTGATTTCCAAGGAGGCGGTGGTCGGGTCAGACACCGGCACGTTGGTGGTTGCCGTCCACACGGTGGTTGGCAGTGGTATGTTGCTGTACCATATGGCTATGTAGTAATTGCTAGAGGTGGTGTTACCTTGCGGTGGGGAGTAGAAGCCCAAGGTGAATTTGCCGCCCTGGGACACAATCTGCTGTGACCCGGACAACGGTGTGGTGGAGGTGATGGTGTCGACGGCTGTGCAGAGTAGGATTTGGCCGAATAGGAGTAGGAAGACGAGAGGAGCCATGGATGGGAGCTTGGAAGAATACCCAGCCACCCAGAGCTGGAAGGAGCATGGGAGTTTGAACTTTCTGAGTAACTCGTGGTGGTGCTTGGATATAGAGGTTTTTAGGTTGGCGAGCAACAAGACTCCACCTCAAATTAGTAAGGGTCCTTCTTTTACACTAGATAGGCTGATTGAAAGGTACACACCCAACGCCATTGTAGTGCTGAATGATGGGTCAGTCAACAGAATGCAAACTAGTCGTTCGTGTTGAAAATTAATAGAGGATTGACAGTGGGTTTTTTTTCCTTGATCAATTGTCTGCCTATTTTATTCATTACAGCTCAACTTATGCACTGCCTTGGACTTTGAAACTTGACCCAGAGTGTCGTTCTTGGTCAACAAGCACGCTCAGTTTCCAGGAAGCTTACCACTGATGGGCAGTATTCAGCAAAGACTGCTTATGATTTCCAATTGCTCGCTACAATTCCACAGAAGCAGAATTTATTGAGTGGAGAGCCAAGGTGGAAGGGAAGTGACAGTTCTCCATATGGTGCATGTACAGCTGATTGACTAACAGCCTTGGGGATTCTCAAAAAAGTTACAAAAAAGATTCTCACTAACAGCCTTGGGAATTGGGATGGACCATGATGATGCTTGCAAGCTTTGTGATCAAGTGCTCGAATTGCAACCATTTGATTCTGCATTGCCCATTTCGCCAAAGAAGTTTGGTCCTGTCTGGCTCTCACATCCCAACAGCCACCTCCATTAGCCTCCCAGAGGCAGCCCTCACATCGTAGTCTGCGTGCAACAGATTCAGATCCTTTGTTTGTTCTTCTCTTTCAGTATATTCTAGCAAGATTTGCACTAATTCACCCCCCCTGATGAAGAAGCAGAGGCAGAGGACCTGCTATATACTGTATCTGTGTACACAAAAGCCAATTTCTGCTCTGATGGTGACTTTAGCTGGAAAGCAAAAAATAAGACTTGACTAAAGGCAGAGAAGTCCTGTCGGCAGCGAAAGCTGTATGCTCCGTATACTATTGTTGACTTGAATAGCCAACATGTAAATCATGTAAGACTTGTCTGTCTAAATATCCCCCCTCCCCTTTGCAGGCTTGCAGCTAGTATGCACTTTGCTCGTTGCTTCAAAATTACAACTAGAGCCTGGAGTAAAATCAATTTTTTTTACCAGGTATGTGATCGCCGCATCGGGAGAATTGATTTTAACCCCCCCAGTTCACTCGCCTTGGATCTTATGCCCCTTTCTTCGTTTGCCTTGCTCTGAAGCCCCCCAGTTCTGTCTAGCTCTTCCTGATGCCCCCCTTTGATGTTTAACAAATTTGTTAGTAGATATAACCATCAAATAAAAATGCGAATAGACAGAAATCCCCATGTGAAACTCCCTCAGCACCTAGGGTTTCTAGGATTTAGACAACCATATAAGAGGAACCAAGCAAAATCCATGGAAACGGAAGGGGAGAAGCTTGCCTTGCCAGCAATGGAGGGCGGCAGGAGGGGAGAGGGGAGGGGGGGACGCCGCGCAGCAGCAGGGGGGACGGACGGCAAGGCGCGGCGGAGCAGCAGGGGCGACGGACAGCAGGGCGCGGCGGCTCTGGCGGCAGGGGCGAAGAACGAACGTGCTAGCCCTCCTCGCATCGCGTGGTGCTGGGTCATGAGGAAACTGCACGAGGGCAAATTAGTCAAATCAGAACATTATAGGATCAGTTTTTCTTGCATTATTAGCTAACTGAATAGAGTAGATAACAACGCAAAAGGGGCAATCGGCAAGAATCAAGTCGTACTGGGGGGCTTCAGAGCTAGGCAAACGAAGAAAGGGGCATAAGATCCAAGGCGAGCGAACTGGTTAGCACAATTTGGGAGTCGAGACTGACCTCAGTAGAGGAAATAACGGCGGCACCGGGCCTTGGCCGGAGCCAAGGATGACGAGGTCGGACACTCAGGCGATCCTGTGTTCCTCCCGCCGGCTTGCTGTCGTGCCACCAGTCGATTAGTGCGCCCTCCTGGTATCCATTAGGTACTTAGGTTGCTGGTGCAAGCTTATTCAGGACGCCCCTTAGGTGCTCGCTGAAATGCCGGCCCCAAGTTGCTTGCGCGGGACATCTCCGCCAGCGTGCGACGGCACCCCCTCGCCCGCGAGGATGTCCAGGAACGCCTCGGCGCTGGCAGTCGCCGACGGACCTTGTGGGTTGTGGAAGACGAAGCGGAGGACGATTTAGCCGTCGCGGTCTCCCGGGCGAACATGGGGCGGGCGCGGATGACGTCCAAGTCATGGACTATGCTCTATGCAGGTGGAACGCAGGAGAGCGAGCAGCTCGGCTCCCGCTGGCTGAAATTATTCGGCCCTCTTCGGTTCCTCGGGCGGCGATGGCCGGAGTTGTGCGCGCGGATTAGGTTGGAAGAGAAAGAGAGTGAAAAGATTAGGTTGGAAGAGAAAAAGAGTGAAAAGATCCGAGCCAAGAGATGGATACAGGGGACCGGTATCCGACGGAAGCAAAGCTGCTTCTCTCAGGAGCCATCGTGGCCACCCAACGCATGCTTAGAGCAACTCTAGCAGACCGCGCATCCGGCCGACTCGCAAAACGTGTTTGCAGTTCACGGAAAACGACATTGCGGATTGGTCGCAGATGCAGTCCCCGCATAACGGATTTTAAAAAAGATATTCACGAAATATGTTCTTTTACGGGTCAACTTTGCGGGGTCTGATCTAGCGTAATTCCTCCAGACCCGAAAAACCTAAATTTGCATCTTAATTTGATCCAACATAATGCATTTCTTTGCCTTTTCAACAACATTGGATACATAAGACATCATCAAATCTTTGCTAGAAATAGCAAGACCTAAGAAAACGAGAACCACTAGTATGCATTTTATTAAGGAGTGCATGGACATCTATTAATTTCTTTCTATCAATAAATCAATGTATTCGTCTTCCCAAAACCAAAATGAGCATCCATCTTTCTACACATATGAGTGAGCATGTTCGAAATGAGCTACCGTAAGTGCATGTAGCTTGTCGTTTTTGCATTTGAAGAACACCCATCTCGGGTGCTTCGGCGTGCCCGAAGTTAGCGCCACACTGTCCGTGGGTAGTCGTTGCACTGTATGAGCGGCATCGGCGAGCCACATAGCCGGAGCGCGAGCGCCGAGCCCGGGGGACGGCCGGACGAATCCATGCCCGCAAACCGCCGTCGGTGGCGGGAGGACGAACCCGTACCTACATGCGGCGGTGCGACCTTGCCGGGGCTGCGGGAGATGCTCCCCGACCATTCCATCGCTTGGCACAGCCTCCAGCGGGCGGAAAAGCCAAATCCGGTAGCCCGCGATGAAGGGCCGCAGATCCGCAACTTCTCGGCCCGCCGGCGCAGGAGGGGGGGGGGAGGGGAGAGGGGAGGCCTCGTGCATGTGGTGGCCTTTAGGCGTGCTCCTGTCGGCTACTTTCGCCGGAATCTTGGGCGGCGGCCCGGCGGCGGGGCGAGGGGAAGAGGGGAGGTGGTTGGTGGGGAAAGCGCGGGCTGAAATGTCCCCTCCACCAACTGCTTCCGCTTATATGCAGGGCACCGCAGCGGTGAAGGGGAAACCCGCGTATTCGTTGGTTGGGGCCGAGATTTTGCCGCGCCCCTCAAAATTTTTTGCGGGCCGTCCGCCTTTGCGGGGTTTGTTCGGGCGGGATTTTTCACGCGAACCCGCATTTTGACGGTTATTTTATGGGTCGGGGCCGGATGCAGGGTCTGCTAGAGTTGCTCTTAACTGAACGCGCACCGCTTCTACTTGCTCCGTTGCTAAATCTAGTGTATATTTGAAGAAGACAAATCAGCGGTTGTAAATTGGTACAAATTATTGGAGAGAACAAAACGTTAAAAGTGACACTTCTGTTATAGAAGGTGGGTAAAAACATCAATTATGATGATATCTTTCTTCTTTTTCTGAATTTATAGGCACAGTGGAAGGATGATCTATGTGACAGTAACATGTCAAAGGCCTGCAGAGGTTTAAACAAAAGTCAAAAACTGCACTGCAAGAGAAAAGCATATATGAAGTTATGAACATCAGAAATTGACATTCACCATTGTAGTCACCCTCTGGCCTCTGCAAGTCCATAGGCATATATGATAGTAGGAACCTGTCCCTGTGAAATCAGAATTTACTTGCCTAAAAGCCAGCAAAGGGTTCAACTCCGTAGTCATGCTAATTGCTTGGAACCTATGGAAGCTTCGAAACGTTTGGGTCTTCAACAACAGAGACATGCAGCGCCCAATCCCCGCTCTTGTGGATTATCGATGAGCTGAAAGCATGAGACTGGTACGGTGAACCTAGAGCTTTTTCTGAGTAGTTGGACTAGCTAGTTCTTCCTTGGTTGTGGTGTAGTCAGTGGCATTGCTTTGAGAAAAAGAAAATCAATCTCACTTTCCCTAAAATAATACTCCCTCCGTCCTGAAATAAGTGACTCAACTCTGTACTAGCTTTAGTGTAAAGCTAGTACAGAGTTGAGTCACTTATTTCAGGACGGAGGGAGTAATATTCAATCTCTCTTATATCCAAGCAGTTAACAGCAATATCGAATATACGATGCCATCTGAGATAAAAAAAAAATCCATCTCCATGATAATGCCCCCAGATCACACATGGAAAGACATCTGGTGCCAAGTAAAGTCTAACCCCACCACACAAGTATTCTAGACATATACACAACTACCTGATCAGAAACTTTCAGATAGTGCAGGACGGTAATGACTAGAATAACAATTTGAATAGTCAAAAATATTCACCTGGATAACAGAACCATGTTCACGCTTTGGATTCAAATATCGGACAACGGATAACCCATATACATTTCTGATTTTCTTGGCTCCCTTAAAATTTTCCAGTTATTGATAAATGTAGTCGTTCAAGGCGCATTATGACTTTTCATCATAGTCACGACACTTAAGACACCAGGTACATCGAGCTGGTCTCTAAATACTGTATAGTAACACTAGTGCAAACTGGTTCAGCAACTGCCT